CTAAGCTAAAATATTAAAATGATATTTAAGGACAACCCAGATTTAAGCGTCTGTGGCAACCGCGTATCCAACAAAACTAAACTAATTTCTAAAGAGATCGTAGGTTAATGAAGATTTAGCGCTAATGAGSACATGGCTAAACAATACGCGAACTAACCCGAATATTCCCGTGAGATCGTTACAATCGGAACCGATTTGTTAGCGCATTGTTTCAGCCATGCACAATCTATTGCTGCGGATTAACTCGTTATCCTTTGTAGTAAGAAAAGACTTCCTAAAGTTACTATAACTTTTATCCTGCTATTATGACCAACTGRGCTTGAATTTGACTTATTGACTAAATTGAATTAAATATTGAACGGTTGAGCTAATCATTAACTCGGCTAAAATTCTCTGTCGTCACACTCTTCAACATGTATGTCTCACAAATCCCGGGATGGAAAAAGGCCTCATATAGCTCAGTTGTCTACGATTTTTTCCCAAGTGCTCAGCCTGCCTGGTCTCATATGCACTTTTATTCTTTCAAGACATTTTTTGGGTACTGTTCTCGTTCACCGGTCTTTTTGGCATCTTTAGTGAAGTCCTCTTTCTATCATCTGCCACTGGTCTTAAAAAGGCTCTCTTTATTGCTTGTCTAAACTCTTGAGATCTTATGGAATAAATCCAAGGGTTGATAGCACTGCTACAGTAGGCTACCAAACAGGCCCACGGCCATTCTGTGGTTTCGTTGTATAAATGCGCACACTTGCCTTTAATTGTAAGACTAACACAAGCTACTACTACACTAGGAGCATATGAGATGGCGAACACTCCAATAACAATCGCTATTGTGAACGCTGCTTTGGTGTTCTTTACCGCTTTGGAGTGTTGCTCCTGTTCTTGCGTATTCGATAGACTAGCGATGTTCCTTATCTGCAATCTTGCGGTCCTGAAAATCGCAGTATAACAGTAACAAGTAATGCAAAGAGGGAATAAGCATGCAAGAATGATAGTTGCTAACCATAGCCATGGTAAGTCTTTCCCTCTCAAAAAGACCCTTAACAAAGCGATTGACAGCGATGAGGTCCATAAGAAGACGATGATGATCTGACATCGACGGGTAGTCATGACTGTCTCGTAGTACATTGCCCGTGTGATGGCGATAAACCGATCAATACTTATGGTAGTAAAACTAAACGTTGATATCAAGAGACATTGGATCCAGAGATAATCCTCAGCTACATCAAAACCATGTGGAATGATGTTTGTGTACATCTGATAACCATAAACTACGGCACGAACGATGAGGATAGGATTGAGAACCAAGCCCACCAAGAGATCTGCTAACGCTAGTGAAGCAATGAAAAAATTCGACACAGATTGCAATGCCTCTGTTTTGTACACTGTCCATAACACAACAGAATTCCCCACGATGGAAAAAACAGAGGAGATGCCACTAAGTGTTCCAAGAACTAGAAAAGATGGCGAAAACTGGTAGCTGGAACAAGCCTCTGTGCTGTTGTTCATGACGGTTCTAATTACAGAAACTACGATTCACTTACCCGCGTTTTTGTTTTCTTGGATATCATATTGTTTAACTACTTTCATGAATAATTTGGTGTCGTTAGTTAGCAGGCTTGTGTGTCACGTTTAACATCGACGTCAATGTCTTCAATTGATGTAATAATTTATATTTACCGTCTTAATCGGTTTTGCGTTAGCATATTGATGACTCACAGCTCTCATGCCATCACGGTGTCGTTAATAGAAACTAAGTAGAAAAAAATAAATCGAAAACAAAGGAATCAGGTAGCCACTCTAAACCTTTCTGCCTTAAGTGGTTTCTGGAGAAAAAGTCAACTTGTCGTGTCTTAGCGATTGTGTTGTTACCTAAGTGACTGAATCATGTTTAAACAACGGGCTTCTTGCAACTAACTCAAATCTGCACGAAAAACATATCCCTCATCAACAGTGTTGAATAGTCGTGAATTGAAAGGAAAACGACGATTTTTTCTCTTTTTTTTTTTTATTTCGTTTGATTTCGTCGTTAATTTATTTTTCATTAATTGCTTATTTTGAAATCTTTGCATCCATAAAAAAAGCACTCAAAATTCTCCGTCAACTAATAAACCATTGTTTCTAAGCAATGTTTTTTTTGTCTCCTCTCGTTTAACAGCAGTTTTTTTCTTGCTCAATATTACTACCCGTACAATAACATTCCATTTTCAAGCCCGACAGCTGTCTTTAGCGTCGACTGGCTACCACCTTTTATGTTCGTCTGACTTCTAAAGTATAATTTGAACAAAAAAAGACAATATCACTCGTTATTTGTACAAATCGACAGAGCTTCCTTTTTAAAGTTAGTTTTTCTCAGTGCCCTCTCAACGACGCCTCTAGAAAAGTGTATGTGGACAATGACGCATAGGAGACTCGTGAATTTTTTTTAAGAAGTGAGAAATCTATATTAAAGCTGTTTTTGCGGGGTCCTGTGGTGGACAAACAGCAGTAAACCAAACCACACTTTTATTACAGCTCAGCATCTGTTACTAGAAACACCGTCCAGTGTGGTTTTCTTACTTAGTTATAATATTTCCACTTTTCAAAGCCAAGCGGCAATTTCAAAGTGAGTAGATGCATTGATAGATCGGTTCCTATGCGGGTTATAAATTCAATGGAAAACAAGTGAGTAAACTTGTTTGAGCTGCGTTGGTATTGAAAAGAAAATGATAAAGGAAAAAAACTGGCTGTCTGGTGACTAATTTATAAGTATTCTTCAGTTCTTTTGTTTAACGGCTTCCCGTTCGGATAAGATAAAAATTGATAGAAGAGATTGAAGAGAGAAATTGAACTTGGGTAAATTAAACGTACTACGACGACTGTATGAAAGATATGAATGAAATTTAATAAGTCGGATGAAAGACGATTAAATGAATAGATTAGAATGAATGAATGGTGAATGGATAAACTAAAAAATGATTGAATGAATGAATGACATTGGTGAATGAATGAAAATGAGCGAACGAACGACAAACGAACAAACAAATGAACGAACGAACGAACGAACGAACGAACGAACGGACGGACGGACGGACGGACGGACGGACGAACGAATGAATCTCATTAAACGATCGTCACTTCGAAAGATGTCATCTGAATGCAGCTGATACTATTATCATACACATGCCTAACGTATTTCTAATATAGCTTAATTACAGTTAGAAAGATCAATCAATACGATCAGTAAATGTCATATAAAACATCACATCTTTTTATTGATCGTGGAAACTCTTTATATTGGGTTTGCTTTTTTGGCCCCCACACCTAACAACTCGTCGTTGTAATAGTCAAGTAACAGTCTTACTGTAGTACCATGTATTCAGGGTGAGATAAGGTGTGACAGGCTGTCAATAACTTGTTCATTGTTGTACTCTTTTAGGTGATCGTATCATTCTTGGTAATAATCATGTGTTCCGTTTCAACCACCCACATCAAGGTAGGATATCTCACTAAATTTTCCATTTATTTTCCCTTTCACTTCTCTTTTATGTTAAAATAAGAAACTCTTTTTCAACTTTTTCTCCTCACATAGTTAGCTTTTTCATTTATTTATCCCTTTCATTTGTTTCCCATTTTAATTTATTCCCATTTTTGTTCCTAGCGTTGGCTGAACGCATTCGAAGATCAAGAGACAACGTTGATCAAGAGACTCGAAGGTCAAGAGATAACGTTGATCAAGAGACAGCAGGTTAGTGTTAACACAGTCTCATAACCAAGTGTTATTCTGTCACAACTAGAGTACTTCATGGACCCCTTCTGCCATAGAGAACATGTTGTCGTATGACACTAATCCCAAAACACAGAAGTACCAAAGTTCACGAATAAAAGAAAAAGATAAATTTTATCATCCTAAAACTTTTCAAATGAAGAAAATTGAAAAAAAAAACGGGATAAAATTGTGATGCGTATGAATGTGTTGAGAGAAAAGTGCGTAATCTTTTTTTTCGATTTTGTTTTCTTTAATTTGGTTGACGATGCCTTTTGTTCGTAGCGCGTGAAGCAAACAGCGAGGAGCCCATGGACTGGTCATATGCTGTGCTGGAGTTATTACGAGAGCAAGGTTACATGAAAGAAATGAATGATAGGTAACTATAGACTACCAATCCGGTATATTGACTACCAACCCGATATATTGACTACCAACCCGGTATATTGACTACCAACCCGATATATTGACTACCAACCCGGTATATTGACTANTTGACTACCAACCCGATATATTGACTACCAACCCGGTATATTGACTACCAACCCGATATATTGACTACCAACCCGGTATATTGACTACCAACCCGGTATATTGACTACCAACCCGGCAAATTGACCATCTACTCAGCAAACAAGATCTAGAGAAAACGTTGGATTGTGTGTACTAGTTATTGGTTGAAGTACAGACCGATGGTTGTAAAATGCACTGACATTTTCGTGGGTGGAAGGGGGTTGATGTTGACCAACGGGATAAGGATATATAAGCACTATAACTTATCTATATTTCTATATCTCAACGGGATAAGGGTAAGGCTTAAAAGAGGTCGAATAAAATTGAGCTGTTGACTCAAATTCTTTGGGGGTAGTGGTGGGGATAGGGTTGGGTAGGAGAGTTTAACCTAGATTCTTTGGGGGTAGTGGTGGGGTTAGGGTCGGGTAGGAGAGTGTAACCTAGATTCTTTGGGGGTAGTGGTGGGGTTTAAGAGGGTAGCTAATATTCTCTAATCTCTTGCCTCAGAGTCATCGAGCTTGAAGATAGAATCAGATATGAAAAAGATCAGGCAGGATTGCTGTTGGAAAAGCAAAGAAAGGTTAGTTATTGAACCATACGCTACACCACAGGGTGACCATAGATTTACCATACCATGCCACAGGGTGACCATAAATATACCGTAGTGCACCACGGGGTAATCTAAGGTGAATCTGTAAATAATCTTAATTTATTATTATTTTCAGACTTATGAGACTAAACTACAACAACTCCAACGACAAGTGAGTAATCTGGTTAGAGGTCTCTTTTGGGCTACCTGTGGTGGATAAATCCACTTTGTAATATAAATCCACTTGATACTGTTGATGCGGTATATATAAATAAACAAGACTATTCAACACGTGCCTCTTTCATTGGTAGCTGTTACTTATTCTCTTATAGGTTGATCTGACGTCATTTCCGTCCAGTGACTTTGAAAGTGAAATTGACTTAACAAGTGCAGGAAGTAAGTATGAAGCATGTCTTCGTCTTCACATAACGCGTTTTATATTGACGTAAACTGATTGAGTGTTTTTTCAGGTGAGAGTCCTCTAACAGAGAGGGAAATGAACCTGGCGTTGTCTGTCATCTACAAATGGCGGACATTCTTTTACACCTCTTTACGAGTGAGTTGAATTTTCTTTAAATTATTCATTCTTATTTTTAAAAATCCTGCGCTTAAAATCTACGAGTATTGCTTGTCTTGTTGGGGTAGAAGAGTGAGATATCTTAACACATACTTATATCGTAATGACAGGATGATATTCTAAGTCACGCGGTTCTCATCAAAGAGGCAAACGCCATTAGCGTCGAACTCAAGAAAAAGGTAAGCGGCTAACTTAGAAACTAAGATTTAGATCTTATACTTAGGCTCCCTCTGTTTATAACGTCGAAGTGGTCTGGGTTCTTACGTATTTTGCCTAATGGATTCCGCAACTTTCTGTCCCGAAAATCCCCGATTTACAAGTTTAAACTTTATGAAACTGAAAGCTTTTTTATATGATTTGATTGGGTTGTTCAAACATGGCTTTCAGCCAATAAGAGCTTGCGTTTTATCTCAGTTGTTTGTTTTTATACCGAGAGGTGTGCTAAAATAGCCAATCACAAAGTACGTTATATCTTGATTGTTTTATAGGTAGACTTCCAGTTCACTCTTCTGACAGAGACTTTATTTACTCCGTTACCTGAGAATCTTCGCGAGGACAGCCATCAAGACAACCACCCAACTGTAGTCTGCGTTGAAGTTCAAGATAAGAAAAATGGCGCAACGCACTATTGGTCACTCAAAAAACTAAGGTGCGGACTATATTTGTTTGAACTCAATAACTGGCGATAACACCACCCATTACCACAGGAAGCCCAACAGATTAATCATATACGTTGTGTTTTCTAATAGATCTCGCTTGGAAGACATGCGCTTCATGTACGAAACTGCAGCCGAATCAACGGCCAGCGTCACGTTCGAGTCAGGAGATCCATTCTATGATGACTTCCCTTGGTTTCGTATCGTTGGAAGGTACGAGTATAATAGAAATGAGTGGAGTAAAAGAGCTTTTTACTTTACATCGTTCTTAGCACCATCTCTTTCTCTGTCCTCAACAGGTCGTTCGTGTATCTTAGTAACCTGGTCTATGGTATCAGTCTAGAGCAGTCCACGCCCATCATCAGTGAGACAGGAGAACTAAAGGGACATCTGCTGATCAGTATACAACAATGTCAAGGTTAGTACTGTGCGGGCAAACAAGAAATCGTATGATCATTTGGAAAACCCACATTAACCAGGGGAAAGCCACATTAACCAGGGAAAACCCACATTAACCAGGGAAAACCGATATAAACCAAGGAAAACCCACATTAACCAGGGGAAACCCACATTAACCAGGGGAAACCCACATTAACCAGGGGAAACCCACATTAACCAGTTATTGCTTACTTATTGCTTACTGTTTCAATTTCAGACCAGCGCACAGAAATGGACGAAGCCAGTCGATCTTGTATCTCATGGTTGACGTTTGGAGAGGTAATTAGAAGGATAATGTTCTTGTACAGCAGTATTAAGCAGCCGCATGTGTGCACACTAATTAGTTTTGATCAGCTAATCCGCTTTTAGCAACCGTACTTCGCACGATCTTGGAAACACAACGTACTTTCGAACCACGGAGAAAAGACGTAATTAACGCAGACTATAACTCCAATGAATAATGCTCGGGATCTTAAATGATATGTAAATGAAATATTTGCAGAGCGTTACGAGGTGGAAAAATCCCGACCTGGATGAAATCGAGGAGGACGAAGGAGGAGAAAGGTTTTCTAAAGGAGCACTTGTGATGGGAACTACGTTTATATTCACCGTTACTGTCATCAAAGCTGCTGGGCTTCCTGTGGATTATACTGATATATTCTGCCAGTTCAGGTTGGTTTGATTTTATTGGTCAGTTACGATAGTTTTATTAGRAAGATTGATAAGCGCCCGCGAGCTGTTGACCCGTGTTTATCACCATCATCGCATTGAGCATGCGCAGGAAGTCAGATTTGGGACAAGCGTCTGAAATACAATGACTTTTCATTGTTTTCTGATCTTTCAATTTTAGATTCCTTGACTCAGCAGAAGATGTTGGCTTCTCAACCGAGCCTGCTAGTATCATGGGTGGGGACTCGGCACTAGAGTTTAACCATTACCAGAAGGTACATAATCAATGGATGAACCATAAATGGATTATAAGTTTGATGAGTTGAATCATTTCATTATCTTGCGGTAGATTGGCGTACTGGTGACGAGGGAGTTCATTGACTATGTCAGTACAAGACCCTTACAGATTCAAGTATTTGGACACTATCGTAACCACCCTAATCACCAGGCCAGTATTACCATGCCAAGGTGAGTAGGACTGGAACAGGATTATTATCACCATTCCTACTTAACTAATAGCTTGTCAATCTCTTCTAGGGCGGTTCCCAAGGTAACAGATGACGTCAGACCAGTTGAACAAGGTAACCTATAAAATGCTTTTTCTTACTGATTGACTGCTTCATAACCATTTTTTCAATTGCAGTTTACGTCATCGTGCCCATGTTGATGAGAAAAAATCCTCGTTAACATTGCCACCATGTCTTTGTCATTTAACTCTCTTGGGAATGTGCGAGACCCATCAATATTAACTGACGACCTGTTTGTTTTTCTTTAGTCTACATACAACCAACAAGTTCCACGACAAAGTAGGTTGATGATCATTTTTTTTCTTAGCTAGTTCTTTATTGTCGTTACTAGATAAATCCTGTTTGACTCTTGTCCATAGGGACGAAGAACCCACCAGTTTAACTTTTGATTTCGTGGTATGGATCGAGGTATTTGAACTGTCACCATCAGGAGAGTAAGTAAACCATAATGTAAAGCTGGTTATATTGGTTGCAGCTATTTTAATGCACGTTTAAAGGAATCAAGACGATGCAAATTATGTTTTTGGTATAGGTATTTTCCTTGTGTCGTGAAGCCAAAAAAAGACGAAACTAAAGTCTTTCTTCTTCATCAAGTAAGTCTGCAAAATGTGATGTTTACAATTTGTCAACTGCGCATGTCTGTTGAAAGAATCCGCTGTTTAACTTTAATGATTGTTGATTTTGTTCTTTAGGGAATTCAGCGTCGTCTGGTAGTGACACTGATGCACGAAAATTCTCCTGATGTACGCATCAGAAAACTAACCAGTGTAACAATAGGTGTGTTTACCATACTCATATGCCATGATATTACACCTGTATCTGGTACGCCATGCTCATATACCATGATGTTATGCCATTATCTGGTACACCATGCTCATATGCCATGATATTATACCATCATCTGGTACACCATGCTCATATACCATGATATTATGCCATTATCTGGTACACCATGCTCATATACCATGATATTATGCCATTATCTGGTACACCANACCATGCTCATATACCATGATATTATGCCATTATCTGGTACACCATGCTCATATACCATGATATTATGCCATTATCTGGTACACCATGCTCATATGCCATGATATTACACCTGTATCTGATACACCATGCTCATATACCATGATATTATGCCATTATCTGATACACCATGCTCATATACCATGATATTATGCCATCATTTTGTATCTGATCTATGAACAATTCATGTCTAGGTCAAGTTCGTTCGTCCAAGGCAGCACCAAGTCGTCTATCATCGCCCTTGTCGCTAAACATTCTATCACCTCAAATCCAGTCCCATCCTAATGATGAGAGAGCTGTTTTCAAGTTTGAAGCATCATGGGACTCATCGCTACACAATTCAATCCTGTTAAATAGGTAAATGACATGCGACCTTAAAATCCTACGTACTGCTCATGTAACATTGTCTAGTACTTTTCAGCTAGCTTCACTGAGTTTCCCCTGATTTCACTGATAAAAAATAAGTCGTCCCACTTCTTTCAGAGATATAGCATCATCATCAGATCGTACAGTTGTTCCCCTGTGTACCCCCGTCTTCGTTTTATAACTGTTTTGTTTGCTTATTTGTTGTACAGGGTGACTCCTCTTGGAGAAGTTGTGTACGTAACAATGTCTGCTTATCTCGAGGTAATTGATATCAGAAATTTAATTTCAGCCCTTGCAATTCTCTCGGAGAATGTTTTTCTACTGCCCTACGCAACCCGAGGGGGAAGGGGTGGAAGCATGCTGGAACAATTATTAAAGAATGATAACAATAATTGTCATGCTTTTATATTTTTTATTCTTTTCAGTTGGACAGCTGTTGTCGCAGAGCATGTCTTAGTAAAGATATTTGTTTAGAAGTGTACAACAGAGACGCCAAGACCACGCCCTCTAGGTAACTTCTTATTGGTTAATCTTGATTATATACGTCTTTAAAATTTTTAGACCTTGTATCTTTTGTTGTTATTACTTGCCGTGGATGATATTGCTTCTGCTGTTGCTGTTGTTTTTCACCGCTCGTGTTGTTTTGTCGTAATTGCTGCCGTTGCTGTTTTCATCAGCGGTGTTAATGATGATGCTGTTCTCTGTTGTCGTAATTGTTGTTATGACAGTGTAAAGATGGCTTCATTATAATCTGCTTCATTTTTATCCTATATCCAGGTCAGTCTGGAAGATCATCACTGGATCCACAGCAAACCCACCCTGGTAAGAAATCCCGTCACCATGGTTACCCAAGCACTTATCCTAAACGCATTTTTAACTCGATTTTGTGTATTATCTTAGTTTTAAATACAGCGGGATTTACGAGTTGACTCTACATCCTGCAGACAGAAGTGGACGTGGTTAGTAAGACTTTTAGTCTTCCATTTTTGAATTCTTCGTCTTCCTATATGTTGAATTGCATCTGCCAATTTAGAACATTTTTCTAAAAACAATTCGACTTGTTTTGTTGATTTGTTTTTCAGTTCGAAGACCAACAAGAAAAGTCGTGGACACGTCAAACATTTACGTAAGAGGTGAAGAAAACCTACACGGATGGAAACCAAAAGGTCCTTCGATAATAGACGAACATCAGAAACAACTGGACAAGTTAGAAAGACTCCAAGAGGTATCTTGTACTTTTACTATCACGAACCACCCCGATGTATGACTAATATGAATTTACAACTGGTTGTTGGTTTGTTTTCAAACTAGGTCGGTAAAGCTCGTCATATCCTTGCTGTAGCAGATCATCTTCGTGAACCACAGTGCCCAGCTGCAAAGCTTCCACCATGTAACACCGCTTTGTTCTCATCTACAACAAGCAGTAGTTTTCCCACTCAAACATCGCGGACGGTGAATTTTGGTAGTTTGTCTCTTAGCTCGTCATATCTCTCAGGGTGCTCCCTCTCGGTAGGCAAATCCCCAGCGTTTACTAACCAGGTTGACTCTGAAAAGACACAGGAATGTCTTTTACGAAAGGTAGCTTGAAACCTTCATCTTTAATTTTACTTCACCACTTTTATTTTACTTTTATTTTATTCTCGTACATTCTTGAAAGTGCTGTTAACTAGCTTCCAGTTTTCTTCGTTAGTGTCTGCTTAGTGCAATAGCAAACGTGGCCAGTTTCGGTAAATCCCCCTCCCATCCCCCCTATAATAAATTTGTTTATGCGACAATGTAAAATTTTCCCGCTCTTGTTTGTGTGCGCTTGTAATTTTCCCGCCGTTTTCACACGTCATGGCATCGCCAAATCGCCTTCTGTTATATAAAGTACACGTGTGGGATGGAGGCATAATGGCCAGTAAACAGCACTTCGATAATCTCCCTATGCATGATTCATTACGCATGCGTAAAGCACCCATGTCTTTTTCGTTAAATCGTATTTTTACATTCACCCACACGTCAAGGGGTTCCCTTTCAGACAGGTAATCTAACTAATAGGTACTTTCAGTTTATTAATGGTGCTTTTTGATTATATCATTATGGTTCAAGTTGATTGCAGTCGTGAGTTTGACAATCGCTTAGCACGTATAGTACTTTTTAACATATATTTTGTGTTTTGGTTATGACATGGAGCTGCATAATAGATTTGCATGAATAGAGAATACTGGTGATTCTGTTAGGGCGTTTGCTCTGAACAAATTCACCATTTTCCATACATTGGTTCACTGGTCAAACACAAAGCAAAAGGTCAAGCACAAAGGTATTTTCAAAGGGTTATTCAAATTTGAACCTTGCAACCTCGACTGAATGCTTTGTGTTTGACCAGTAAACCAATGTGCGAAAAATGGTGAATACGCACCATTATCCTGAATCACTTTGCTTGCCCTCGGGAGAGGCAGTTCGTGACGTACTTATCCCACTTATTCTGAGAACAATTATGTCTTTAATATTAGTGCTTACATCTTCTGACATCGAAGAAAGCTATCAAAGATTTCCAACAAATGGTACGTACAGTATAAGTTATCTAAGACAAAAAACAGCCGATAGAAATTCATGAAATTGGGATACCTGTGATCTTGTTTGATAGGTCCAAAGCTCAGCACCTCAGTCATCACGTGACCCCACGTCACCCGATGACGTCAGCAGGGCAGACTATTTCGTGCCGTCATTAAAAGAAATTCGAAAAAAGTAAGGTAGAAACGTTTGTTGTTGTTTATCTTTGCTGTTTTGTTCTCAATGTTTCGTTTGTTTGTTTTGTATTTTAGTCCGGTTATTGCTAAGAAAGGCTACTTGCTGGTAATGGACGATAGCTCGTGTCTGTGGAAGAGAGTGTGGGTTGTAAGTAATCGTGTAGACAACTCACACGAAGTATTATAAACCTTATATTTATTTGCTTGTTGTTATAGTCGTTGTTGAGCAGATTCTGTATGACTGGGAAACAAATTGTCACATGGAATCAAACGAACCAATCATGGTGCGCGAAATTACTTCTTATCCACTTATATGCGGCAGCACGGCACGGCGCAACAATCATACAAAATCTGCTCTAGGTGCAACAGTCCTATGACGTACTAACGTAGTCAACAGCTTTGTAATTGACAAGATTTTTTTAGAACAGTATTGGTATTTGCTTATCAGGTGGTAAGAAAACCGTATGTACTCTTCTACAGTCACGAACAGGAGCCGGTATGTAATAATCACTCGATTCTTCCGCGGGTGGGGTATCTGTTCGTTCAGTTCAACATTATCATTTTCATGTTTCTTGTACTTTGTTTTACAGATAGAATATTTTGTTATCAATCTCAAGAATGCCAAAGTCGAGTGTTCACAAGACGAGACCGTTCAAACAGTAAGACATCGAAGTATTCACATCAAACAATCATCGATATTTGACGATAATTAACACCCTTTCTTTCCGCTTCAGACGAATAAAGTATTTTCATTACGGACTGGTCATGGGCGATATTTACTCCAACCAACGCCTGACCTCGAAGAAGAGGTCCATGAATGGCTGTACGCTATAGACCCTTTACTAATGGGTACAATAAGGCAAGGAACCATACACATAGGGGCCATGTTAAACACATGAATAAAGAACCAGGGTTCTTTCGTCACATGTATTATTGTCTTACGAGTCTCTAATCAACACCACCTTACCTTCTCCATTCAACAGTGTTGAAGCCTGAAATCATTTTTTTTCAGGTCTTTCTTTACAGCGTTTGCTTAGTTCGCTCATTCACTGTGATGATCAACACATCTATCATTATTTCACCACAGTTCTATCCATTCAATATTCAGTGTTGTCCTTGCCTGAAGATTGGGAGGAGCATAGTATCCAGCTAATGTATGTAAATGATTTTATCGCAGATCTCGGAGGTCAAGTATGAGACGTGGAGTACGATGACAGAAAGCCACATTTTTTAACAACTGAACCCTCTTAAGTGCTATCTTTACTCAAACCTTTTGTGACACTAAAACAAGGATTGGCAGCCATGTTGAAAAGTAACCACGCATGGATCACCTTCATTTGTGGTGGTGTTATGGATATCATCAAAAAAGCAACAAGTTTTTTCTAAATTAACCGAGTAATGGCAAACGAATTCCAACAGCAGACATGATGCATAGACTAATACCCCATTCACACCTAAACGTGTTTAGTTAAACTATGTTTTCATTAGGAAAAAAATTGAGAAACTGGAAACCTACAATATAATGAAACTTTCTAAAATATTGTCACAGCAAGACAATGGATAGTTTACATGCATTATTTGACCAAATATTGTGCAGTGTTCGTAGATAGTTTTCCAAACCTGTTTATTTAAACTTTTAAACATGTTTAAGCCTTGGTGTGAATGGAGTATAAGAAATCAAAGATGAAAATAATGAAGTTTAAAAAAATGGATTCGGTTTGACCACAGGGTGATAGATGCTGTTATACTAAAGAAAAGACATCAAATGTGCTTTCTGAAAGCTCTCCAAAAACACAAGTTTTCTATTAGGATAACAAATTGAAGTTACAGAAACAAACATTTTATTTTTTATTTATAAATAAGGTTACAAATAGTAGTGAGGGAACATTATCTTTCATGAATTAACGTTGTGGTATTATTTGTAATTTATAAACCACGTTTTTTCACACCTAAAAATCTTAGGCCACGTAGTATTTAATAATAAATTAACAGCAATTACAGCAATTCGTATTTAGGCTTCTTAAGGAAAATGGATAAATAAGCAATATTCTACCAGAAATTAAATTAATAATTGCAATGGATAAGAAATTGAATTTTGCTGCACGCAATATTGCGACATTTTTTGAATTAACATACGATATAATTGTCGATGCGCCTGTCTTTAGTAGTTTATTGGCCATTGGTAACTTGCATTGTTGCGGTATTTTAATCTGTCATCGGTTTAATGACAGCATAATCAGCGCCTTAGTCAACAAAAATTAAAGACAATTTTTTTTAAAATGTCAATTGTTACTTCTTTTGGAATAATAGAATAGAAAATGACCTATAAAAAATTGTTTACACCCTTACTTCTTCCTTATTCCTCCCTCCCTCCCTCCCTCTCTCCCTCCATAACCCCTCCCTCCCTTCCCTCTTCCCTCCCTCCCTTCCTCCCTTCTTCTCTCAGTCCAACCCCTCTTCCCTCCCTTCCTCCTTTACCAATCCTTTGAGACGAATCCTAACCAGAGAGAGAAACTATATATTGCGCGCATTACTCTGAACACGAACAGAAGAGACGACCAGAGCAAATATACTCCGCAAGTGCTCTTGAAGCCTTGCGCCCGCAATGCTTGATGAGTAATAAGCACATACAGACAACCCAATCCACAGTTTGAGATGAAAGGTCATCATGAAGAGAGCAAAAGAACTTATTAAATGAGTAGGCTTCATCTTTTTACTTTCTTACAAGACAGCAGCAATCGATTTCCTTTCTGTCTGTCAGTAAGTAGTTTATGTCTGTCTGTCTTCCAATTGTCTGTCTGTCTGTCTGTCATCTCTTAAAAAAATCAAGTTTTATAAACCAATATTTTATTGGTTTAGCGTAAAGAAACTTTTATATTTCAATTGCAAATACAAGTGCATTTTCTACTAGATTTCTACTAGATAAAATAAAAGACAAAAATGTTAATAATGAGGTCTYGAATATTCATAACTGAACCAGTTTGATTTTTGCGCGCGCTTTTAAAGCTGAGCCCGCTCTTCAGCATGTCAGCGGATACCCCCTTAGCTCACAGACATTAGACCGGCTGAACAATTTGTGTAGAGAAAGAAGAGTTTAAAAGAGGAGTTTTAATCATGTCTCACCCTGCCATAAGCCCCAATAAGATACGCAGAGTTGACCCACAGGATGGCGCAGATGGTGGACTAGTTCATCAGGAAATTATTGATGAGATCGACCAAGTGCAGAACCATATAGACTCGCTGAACGAAGAGGCATCAGAAGAGATTCTAAAAGTTGAACAGAAGTACAATAGCAAAAGAAAACCGCATTTTGAAAAGAGGACAAGTTTGATCAGGAAAATACCACACTTCTGGGTAACAGTTGTATCCTTTTATCAGACTTAGATGGTAGAATAGTGATTTAAATCCTGGTYTTTCCATAGAAGATATTTTACAATCAAGATGCAATCACAGCTCAGCTGTCTTTTCAAGGTCATGTGTCGAACACTAAAGCATTTATTTCAAATTTATTATGTTTCCCGCCTTATTTATGTCAGTGTCGAATCCAATACCTTATCGACTTTAGGACTTACTGGCTTAGATGCTCAAATACTGGCAGTCTTTACTTGCAAAAGTTGAGTAAAGTGTCCAAAGTAACCAGATAATATAATAGTCTTAGTTCACTTGTACACTCTCACTATCGCAATTACATTACCAACACCATCTGTGTTTACATTTACAAATATTAAACATGCAAAACCCATATTGGACTACGATTATAGGGCTATGCTAGCCACCATGGAGAATTTCCTTGAGGAATATAGGTTTTTATTACTAGTTGTAATAAAATACTCTAGTAGTCTAGGTCCGACGGTCCAGGCMCTTAGGTGGAATCAAGTACACTTCCTTCAATCCGACTTCAACACTTATACACTATTTTGACACACGTTTCAAAACAAAACCCCAGTTTTTATAAACGATCCTCGTCTAGTTTGTAACTGTGTTCTAGTATGTTTTTAATGTTCAATGACTGTTTTATGGTGGAAAAGTGTTATAAAGCGTCTTCAACACATAAAAATGGAGGTACAGAGGAACTAGTGCCCAGTCTCCCGAACAAAAGCCCGCCTTTTTGGAATCCAAAGTTGTGTTAAAGCATTTAAAAACGGATTTCCTAAATGTTTTCATTAGTATAAAGGAAGAAACTATTRGTAATGTTATTCAAATTTTGGAAAAGTAAAAACGGAATTTGTGTTTTTGTTGATTGAATTAAAAAGCTTAAAAATCTAAGGGAGCAGTTAACCCACTGTTGCCATAGAGATAGAATAAAGTTAACCCATAAGCAATAAACTTTATTCTTGAAAATTCATTTCCTTACTAGCAAAATATTTTAAATTTGATAAGAAATGGAATGTTTATTTAGTTTAATATTTACCTATTTCAATGAAAACTTTCTTTAATTTATATTTCTTAACTTACTGTCCTTCAAATGCACAGTTTTCAAACCATCCTCAAACACAGGCTTTACTTGACGAAGAAGACGAATCAGCTTTATATTACATGACATCTTTAGAAGTAGAGGAATTTGAAGACATAAAATCTGGCTACAAAATTAAATTTGTAAGTAGTACATTAACATATGCGTACAAAAACTTGATATGAGGGGATAGTGTCGCYGCATATTTCTGCCATATCATTTATCTGTTTGGTTAAAAAAACACATACTTAACTGGTTCATGTTGACCCCAATTGTTGTTTCTCTTTTAGGGTTTTGATGAAAATCCTTATTTTGAAAACACTGTTATTTCAAAAGAGTTTATTCTTAATGAGAATGGCGAACAATCATCAAGATCTACACCTATCATATGGAAAACTGGCATGGTATGCCTTCTATCATAACTAATATCAAAACTCCACTACAGTATGCTATGCTACACTACACTACGCTACACTACACCACACCACACCACACAACACCACACTATGCTACGCTACGCTACACAGCTACACTACACTACACTACACTACACGTCTACACTACACACACTACACTACACTGCACTGCTAAACTGCAGTGCACTACACAGAATTTAGTTCCACTTTAATCTACGTATGTTCCATTACAAGGATTTAACACAAAGATACAACCAGCTTGATATGATGAAAGGACGCAAACGAGAACATCAACCAGAGAGCTTTTTCAGCTGGTTTGCTGATTTGGCAGATTCAACTGATGAACTAGGAGAAGTCATTAAAGATGATATTTGGCCAAATCCTTTACAATATTACCTGGTGAGTAAATCTCTTCTGTATGTATCACTGTCAAACTTCTATCAAACAGCAACATGATTTATAGCAATATAAATATATATTGGCTAAAAATAACTGGATTACTGGTCAAAAGGACCAGGTGAGGCAAGGTATAAATTCTACAGGACAAGGTCATCATTTTCAGCCCTGTGACAGTCATAAGATGCATTTTCTTTGAAGGGTCCTGAAGTACAAATGGAAGCAGGGAATGACGAGGAAGATGATGACGATGTTGATGAAGATGAGGATGAAGAGGATGAAGGTTCTGAGGGACAGGTGAATACATGCTTTGTTCTAACACCTCAAGACACCCTGAGCCATTTAGCGGGGATAATTTATATATAATTAATAATTGAGTCCTGACAATTTTTTAAATTTTCTTTATAGGAAGATGATGATGATGTTGTGGTCGTGGAGGGAGATGAGGAAGACTATGAAGATGATGATGATGATGAAGAGGAAGTTGAGGAAGAAGAAGTAATAGAAGAGGAAGGTGGAGATGAGGATTTTGGGGAAGAAGATGTTGTTTATGAAGAAGATGATGAAGATGTCGAGGGTGAGGAGGAGGAGGAAGAAGCAGCTCCAGGAGCTACATCTCAGGTAAATAACTCTTCTGACAAAGAATGATGTAATAAATGGATGGACAAATAAAGAAATTTATCACAAAGTTTGTGCTCTTAGAGTGAAGGCATATTTTATTAACCCATGAAATGAAAAAAATACTAGTCTACATGTAAGAGTCAAATAGACACAAAACAATAGATTTGCCCTATTTGACTATGATGTCACTGCTCATTTATGTGGGGTTGGAATCGCCTAATCCAATAGAAAATTCAACAAAATTTGCTCATAGCCAATTTAATCTAAAATGGCCTGGTTTTTAGATATAATATGTGTTAATATGTACTAAAAAATATTCTGAGCGTTTGCTGGCTATTCTACTTCTCTTCATGGATTGATACGGGTTTTAGAACAATTTTCGGKGAATTTACGTTGATTTCAGACCCCCTCCGACGACTATGATCCTTTGTGTTTAAACAATAGATTGTTTTGCTGTGACGTCATAGTGAAATAGAACAATTAGAGTCTGCTAATGTGTATTTGTCTGACATCTATTTCACAGGTTTAGTGACTTCGTTCTGTGTGAAAATTGTAAAATTTTTGGCATGGGGACGTATTCCTAAATGATGACAAATATGTTAGGGTTAGCAAACTTGAAGGGGTTATTCATCTTACTGGTGTGTTATTGTTGTGTGTTTTTAATAGGCAAAGACAGAAAAGCAACTTCTTGAAGATGATGATGATGAAGCYGAGGAAGATGAAGATGAAGAAGATGATAAAATAGAAGGGGATGAGCAGGGTGAAGAACACTTTGAGGACTGATCATTCAGACCACACATGTAATTAACTTTCTTTACTGTACAGTCTATTAATGGTGAATAACAAGAGCAGCATCATTGCATACATTCAAGCAAAATAGGTTTCAACTGCATCAGAAGTCACAGCCAACTTCTCTTGACAAAACTGTCTATTTTCCTTTCTAAGTTTTTGTCATTTCATTACAAAGTTAGACAAATTTTTGCTTGATTTATGTCATTTTTATGTAACATTATTTGCTAAATTCATGCATTTGAGCTAAATTTGCTGTTTTGCTTGATTTCTGACAATTTTCTTTCATTCATGTACATTATTTTAAAATGTACAACTTTAAATTGCTGCTCTTAAATAATACCAGACTGTAATAATATTATTGGTGTGTTTTTATACCTACACAAAACTGAACAGAACAGATTTCGCACCTTATTCTTGGCCATCTTGCCATATTTGAGTATAATTTCTGATTGTTTCAATGGAAGTTTTCAACAATAACAGAACTGTTATGTGACATGATTTCTCAACCTGCTGTGCAGTATCATGCTGTACAATAATCTAAAAAGATAATATACTAAAAAATTATTTGTTCTTAACCAGAACTATTTTCTGCCAACAAGAAGGATCCTGCTAGTTTTCACTTATAATGATATGATAAATGTGCAGTATTGTTCGTCATGTTTATACCTCTTTTTCAGTAATGAAAGTAGGCCTCTCTAATCTTCCAAAAAAGAAAACTACTTCTGTTAAAAACTCTCACATTTTCCCTACAATCTTCTGCAAGCAACCTCTTCAAGTACACTGTATTTCTCATAGATAGTTGCTTACAAAAGATTCCACAGGATACATGAATCTTTAAATAATCTTCTGTGGTTCTTAGAACTAAAATTGTCTATCACCAATGCTTTACATCTTTGATTTACAATATCTTGTCCTTATAAAAATATAAAACGTAGAATATAATTTATTTGAAGATTTAATTAGCTGTTAAAAAAGAATCCTTGTCATACTGTTTGAACTGTAAAGCATAATGGTAAACAATTTGTGTTTATAATTCCCTATATACACATAGTACTTAGCAAAAGAGCTTTTATACATGAAAACAGGATGTATGTTTGTAAGAAGCCTCGTTATTAGAAGGCTATTTTTATATGCTTAGCTTGTTCCCATTGGAACTATGGTCACTACTAGTACTCTATACATAATCACGTTAAACTTACTGTCAAATACTAGCTTTGTTTGGATGTATAAACAATAAACCATATAGTTTTTCTCAAGACACTATTGTTGGAGTTAATTCTTTCTGTCTGAATTGATTTCCTGATGCTTCAGTTTTGGGTAGCACCAGATGCTGTCATTTACGTTGTATATTCATCCATTTGTTCACTTGTGATGTCTTTATTAGCTTCTGTTCGCTGTGAGATAAACTAAAACAGTATCCAAGAAAGTAAGTTAAACTCTATCATCATTACATACTGTGTATTACATGTAGGGTGGGTAAACCTCTAGTAAAATACATGTACTGTACAGTACACATGCTAACAATGTCATTAGTTTGACAAACCTTTAAGCAGCATTTCTTTAACTCTCCACATTTACATGGTTCGTACTTGTCAATTCTTTCATTTACCTATTAGTAATAAATCATTCAATTATAATAAAATTAAGAAAATATATTAAGCATTATATTAAGCGTCTTTGAACTTACGGATATCGACGCTATATAAATTATTCATTATTATATTATTCATCAGCTACCCCCAACCCCTTTGTGCTGTGGAAGGATTCTCAAACATGAATTCATTAATGTGTCATTTACCTGAGCCATTTCATTAGCAAGTCTTTCTTTAATGAAGGATGAAGTCGTCCATACTGCTCTTTGAAGATGAAACCTTAAATTTCATAAAATCCACTTGAAATAAACATTTCAAATTAATGTTCACCTAAAATAATTGTTTTTGTAAATTCCTGGGGTAGTGGACCAGACTTCAAACATGTTCTAACTGGCTCCCAAAACGTGTATGTTTGTCAGCTAAAATGACAGTTAAAACTTGGCATTTGAAATCCACCAATGCTGATTTTTTTAGCTGGCAGGTTTTAACTTTTAGGAGTCAATTAGAACATGCTTTGAAGTCTTATGTAGATGTAAAGGTCGGCAATTACCTGGCTCTTATCAAACAGAAAAATGCAAACAGGTTTAGTTGCTTTTTCAGTGCCATCTTGTCATGGGTTTGTTTTGTTTGATGCTGAGAATATTTTGATGATTTTAGTTTCACACTAAAACTACAACATCCCTGATCCTGACTCTCCCCTGGCACTGATGCTGTAGTACTGGAGGAATCCTCTAAGAATCCATGTGAATCATTAGTTTCAAAATCTTTACCATCTTCCTTGGACATGCAAGAATCATGTCCTACACTGTCACCTTTTGTTCTCGCCTCTATTTCATTTTCATTATCAATAGATAATCCTCCCATAAAAATGATTACTTCATCCACCGCAGGAGTTAAAGCATTTCGACTCTCAGAACCATTCAATGTTTCCTTTTTTGCAGGTTCACTCTGGTTTTTCACTTTGTACTGATTAGATATTTTTGAACTATTTTGAAATAAGTCCATTCCTCTCAGGCACTCACAATGATGGCAGTTAATGAATATCTYTAGTGAGTCTTTATTGTTGGTAGTTTTACTTTTCCCTAATGCTTCAGCTACTCTATTAGCAAGTACTGCTTTATTGTTGAAACTCTTTCCAGTTTGACTTGTACCAGTGAAATCCAAAGCTTCTTCATTTTCATAAGCCTTTCTGTAAGCTGATGACAGCGAATACCAGAAATGATGGTTATAGGAATGAAGGGAAATACATCTCTTTAAACAAGCTATTTCATCTGTTGATTATGAATACAGAATATCATAAGAATATTAAAGATGATGTTGAATTATTTACAATTGACTCAAAGATAAAGCTTACCTAGAACATTGCCAGAAGAAGCACAAATTTTGGCCAACATTAGAATGAGTGATGTATCATCACCATGATCCATCAGCTGGTGATCAAATATTCGTCAGTCAGTTATATACAAAACATTGCATAATAAGGTATAATTAACAGTCACTTTTATATTTTGATTCACATCTTATTATGTGTAATTCCCTTGAGTATCAATCAAGATGACCTCAGCTGAGTTGCACGCCTAGACCATAGTCCTCACTGTGAGTCATCAAGGCAGCTAACTTCGCAGTATATTGGCAGGGCTGTCAACCCCCGAGATATTCAAATCTGGAGAATTGATAGGGAAGGGACAAGACGTCACAGCGCGTCAAAAAGCGCGCGAAAAGACGTCTTTCGCTTTGTAATTTTTGATGTGATTTGTTTATTTCTGACCAATCAGATTATCGTTTACATTACAATGGCCTGCTCGCAAGAACAGCCATGAGGAACATTTTGATTTTGTTAGCGATGTAAAATAACATAAACAACATAAAATAATTGGAATTTTATGGTTATGAAACTTGGGTCTCACAAGAAATGGTCAGCTTCGGGGATTATCCGGGAGATTTAAGACTCTGGAATCTGGAGACAAGGAGATACGGTCCAAAATCTGGAGACTCCCGGTTTCCGGGAGAGTTGACAGCCCTGCCTCCCCCTCCCCCCCCCCCCCCCCCCCCCCTGTTCTATGCTGCTGCTTTCTATTAAACTAGTTATACCTACCATGCTCTGAATCACATGCACAGCTTGATCAAACTGTTGAAGTTTAATGTGACATCGAGCAACAGATTCGTTTATTTCTCTCACCACAGTACTAGAGGATACCTGAGGATTTTCTTGGATGAACTTGTATGATTTCAATGCTTTGGTGTACTGACCATCCCTGTACCAGACATCTGCCTTGAATTTAGTGATATTCTGCTTCTCGACTTTATCACTACAGATTGGCGAGTTGAATATCCACTATAAAACAAGTAAAGACGTTAGGGAACTAACTAAATACATATAGTAGAAAACAATATAAGCAGTCATTTCCATACTTCTCTTTCACACAGCTTCACATTATAAGGCTTTTCTTTTCGTTTATCTTTCTTAGTTTCTTCTGTATAGAAATCATCGTCTAGACATAGCCCTAATTCCATCTTATATTCAATATTTATGACCTTAAAATATTAATAAAGATCTTTGAAAGAAACTCTTCACTTGGTCCGCCATTTTGAATGCCTCGATATGATGTAATCTCCGCTGACCAGCTGTTTTGTTGGCGCCAAGTTCAAAAACAAACTCTTATTTTGTTAATTTTGAACGTTTTTTCTTCAATTATTTTACTCATCTAAATCGCTTTAAGGACTCTAGAGAGGCTTTAGTAAGGCATTTATTATAACCATGAAGCGAAGGTTCCCAAGAGCAAGGCAAAAAGCTATCATCAAGAAGTTTGAGAGCAAAGCAAGGCTTGCAAAAAGCGTTGACATATTGGTAAGAYATCCTACCTGCCTTAGCCTTCATCAACAAGACACTTTAATCACTGYTTTGTTACCTTTATTTAGATATTTTTAGATTATATGATGTTTTTACGAAGACTTGCTTTAGAGGCAAATGTACAAGCTAAAGAAAACAAGGAAAGGACTATAGAAGCTCACCACATAAACGAAGTGTTAAAGGTAAGAAAAAAACTTTTAATTAAGCTTATTCAAAATAATATTGACAAAACATTTGCTAGTATCATAATATGAATATTGGTTGGATTTTATGGATTCATTTGTCATGAAGAAAATCAGCTGTTTAGGTGCCCTGTGTTAACTGACAACACAGGTAGCCCAAAATCTATATATTTATTTTTTATCTTTCTTTAGAAACATACACAGGTGATTATTGAAAATTTCGTGCGCTGATTGGTCGAGAAACTCACACTATCACACAATAATCACCTCCAGTGATAATCCAAAATGGCAGCCAGCCGCTTTGTTGCTGTTACCGGAAAAAATGTCTTTTATCTTCTTTTTTTTTTGAAAGAATCACCTGTGTATTTATGCTAAAACAATTATTTGCCTCAGCCTCAGTGAATATAAGGGAATATTTACCTCACGTCTCGGTAAATATTCCCCCTATATTCACTTTGCCTTCAGCGAATAATCGTTAATAATAAGTATTTTTAAATTTTCAGAAAACACTTAAGACGTGCAGAGGGTAGGATGTCATGTTGATAATATAGAGGATAAATACATATCTATCAAAGGAGGCATGCTGGAACTGCCAACTTAAACATAGATGATTAATCATACCCCATGTCGTTGGATGTAGTCTAATTATTATTGAAACCTCTTACCGTATCAGCCTTTCTTGAGCAACTTCTTTTAGGAAAACTCTATTCTCTAATAAATCACACGTGAATTATTTTTATGCTAAATTTGAATCCCATTTATTACATTATAAGACAGTCATTCACAACATTAATTTTTGACAACACAGCAGGAAGTCTCTACAGGTGTTGTAGATTATTATTCTAAGTCTTTAATTTTATATTTGTATCTCTATACAATACATGAAATTAAAATCGCAATCTTATTATTTTCTTTGCAGTTTTAATATTATAAGAATAACACTTTTATAATGATAAATGTAGTCTCATTTATTCTACAATGCTTCTCTTACCTATATTAACAAGTTATAGGAAGATCTCAGCTCTCCTCCGAGTCATGGTCATTATTTGTACCAAGCCCAGACAGTGCATAGAGTTTTCCTCTAAATAATTTAACTTAATGTAATCCCCAAACCCAAACACCTCTACAGCACACAGCAGGAGTACAGTTCCTTTTGATTGAATAGGTTTTTAGATCAGACTATTAACAGGAAGTAATTTTGGTAAAATAGAATCAACTCGATTACACCAAAAGTTGGCACAAGTTGCATGGTAATCTCGTCCACCGTAGGATATCTTGGTGTCTGTGCCTGATGACGTCGATTTATTAACATTCAATAAACACACTCCACATGCCATGGTTTTGTCTTCATCTGCTTGGATGTGGTGCTCTGTTAAACATTCACTGCTTGTGTTTGTCTGGTGAGAAAAACAAAAGGCTCTTTGAAAATGGGAAGATATTACATGTACCTTCCCATTTCTCAATATTACTGTGCAACGTGCAAACATAAGATCAAATTAAATGTATTCTCATRCTCCTAAGCTTAGGCTTTTGGCTACCAAACAAGCTTCTATGCCTGCCTTATGTGGTGAAACCAGCAAGTCTTGCATCGAAATTATGCTGGTTTAACCATAGTTAATAGTTGTTTACCATGGTTAGGTTAACTATGTTTAACATACTGTATGAAAGCCCATGCATAAACACATATGCAAATACATTAAAAGTGGTCATACTTTTGCATGTTGTGCTGTAATCCAGTCCTCTCAAGCATGAAGAAAGAAATAATACTCAAGGAAAGGTTATGTGGCATAAAATGCAGCTAAATGGAGGTCTTTGAATAACAAATTCTTTTTTTTTTAATTACCTAAATAAAAATAAAGTTAAGATTAAAGCATTAGTTATTTTACTTACCTCAATATTTGATCCAGCAAGAAAATTTGAAATGTTTTTCCAGGACTGATTGATTTCGAGTAAGATGTTTTTTAGCTTGTCACTTCCAAACTCTATGTTAAACAAAACAACAACCATGTTAAAAATTTTATTTAATTTATTGAATACCATTTGCAAAATCTGGAATGTGTACCTGTTTTCATCAACGAAACTTGGATTCTTTGTGTGACTCGGAAGACTTCTTTGAGAGCTTTCAACAACAACAAACAAACAAATTAACAACACATTTTTTCATATACCACACTACATTTTTAATCTTTGTTTTCTATTAGAAAAAGAGAAAGATATCTTGAAAATCCTGTTTTACACTACCTGTAAAGTATTCTACTCCTTTCTTTGACATCAGTACTTCTTGTTTAAGAGCAGGGTCAGACATTTTCTGCACAGCCAAAGCACCAGTCACTAAGGTCAGCAGACAGGAGTTCAGACATCTTCCCCAAACATTATCATGTTTTTCCATGTCCTGTTAACAGCAATAAGATACAATCAATGACTCCCTGTGTATTTCATTTCTCAATGAAGAATTCCTAGAGCTTTGTCCATGTAGGAGCATAACAGGATTGTAAGAAGTTCTTAGAAATGTGGCTGCATGTCCCCATTCTCTTGCTCAAATCTCCCTGTTCTAATATTATATCTTGTGTTCAGTCACAATGCTCTGTGCAGGAATTGGAAGAACGCAAGAGAAAGAAGAAGACATAATGTGTTGCAGAAGAAAAGATTTATAACAATTAATTTGTAGCATCCATTATTTATGCCAATTAAAGATCAAACTACTTGACACAGTGCATACCTCGCCTTCATCTGACAGCATTTTGTATCGCTGAGTAGAGTCTAGTGGGATAGTGTTGGTGAAGCTGTTACTGGTGGTGGAACTTGATCTTTGTCGATTTTGATCAACTGCAAAGCCATTCTTCGCTTGTCCACTCATATCTTGGTTGAAATTAGCATTCAGAGGAAACGAACTTGGCATGTCATTCACATGAGTTGGCCCAGATGAAAGAGTAGATGTTGAATAATGAAAATCTCCAAAGTCATCCTGTAGATGTGTGGTTGCAGAGGTGTTACTTGGATTGGCACTAGTACTCCCTTGTAACTGAGCATTTTCAAAGTTTGCAAAGTTAGTTCCAACTTTTGGTGGTTGTATGGAAGAAAGTCCTTCAAATCCCAAACCTTGAGATTGTTTTGGGCTCAAGTTTTGATTACCAGGTACACTCTCTGTGGTAGTTGTGTGAAAATCTCCAAAGTCATCTCCTGAATGTGTTGCTTTTTCAAAACCCTCAAAGTCACCAAAACTGTCATCTTTCTTTCTTGATGGCTGCATAGAAGTATCCTCAGCAGAAAACGAGTCCAGGTCTTTGAGAAAAGAATACTTATCAACAGCTGTCTGTGTACTGTCTTGTGCTCCAATCTTACCCCCTGAAGAATCTGTTGTGGTTGCCCACCCTGATTCTACTTTGTTCTCTGGCTTTGCACTTGTTGTTCTGTTTGGTGTATTTGGAAAAGATATTGAAGTAGTACTCCTACTTGTGCTTTCAGCTTCTGGAGGAATTTTGATACTTGGAAAGGTTGCAAAAACATTTGGTTTGTTGCCATGGCTACCATCACCATGACTACCACTACTATGGTCAGGTATACTTGATTTTGAGGTGGTAACTGTTTCAGCAGATGAAAAGGACTCAAATTCAGAAAATTCACAAGTTCCTTGTTGCTGTGTGTCACGTTTTAGTTTAAAATCCTCTAGTGAAGCAGTTAGTTTAGAGGTGATATCAAATCCAGACTCCCTTGATGTCCCTGAAAGACCAGACTGCTGTGAAGTTGCACCAGTGCTATCCAAACTAGAAACAGACCCTTGGAAATCTCCAAAATCATTGGACTCTGCCTCAGAGTGGCTTACTGCACTTTGAAAGCCCTGGAAGTCTGGTGAAGTGGATAGTTTGTTAGCCTGATCAAACTGTCCCAACATCTGTGTGCCTCTAGAAACATCTTGGTTAAGATTTGAATGGCTGTTTTCTGCTGATAACCAACTGCCAGATGAAATACTACCTGTAGTTTCCTTTGCAGTAGCACTGGCAATACTTGTTGAAGTGTTATCCATCCTAAAAACACTGTATTTATCACTGGGATCTGTTGTACTGCTGTAGTTACTGCTGGGCTGATTTTGCCAACCAACAAAGCTATCGGACACTGGTAAACTACTACTCTCCTTTTCTTCCTTGTCTGGTTCCTTTTGGAAGCTCCAGCTTCCTTCCTCAGACTGCAAGTTGAAACAAACCATTCATATTAGGGATATTTTCAAGATCGACGTTAATTACTGCATTCTTAGAAAGTTTTGTAGTAGATTGATTGATTGATTGATTGATTTAGCTTTTACTCACATCAAATCATAGTATGAAAAAATATAAACAAATTACAAGTGCATGAGAGGTAAGGGATACTGTCACAGGTTTCCCCAATTACGATGGTTCCTTAAATAAAATGCCATTAAATTGAACTAGATTAATTACCTTGAAAACATCCTCAGGGAATGATGGGATAGGCGCAGACTTGCATGTGGCCAGCTTTTCAAGTGTCAATCTCTCAACTTTTAAACCAGTCTAAAATGACAAACAGGAAAATACTGATGAGGATCAGAGAATAATCCAAAGATTTTTAATTAATCCACCATCAAAACTATCTATACCTGGCCTAAAGCAATCAGCCCTAGCATCATTCTTAATTCCATGTCATTAAGCTGACCAGGTGTAACCTTGTTTACTCTACTCCACAGCTGACCTAAGATATCTCTATGGAGTTCTGATGTTAGCAATAATGTGTGGAGTTTTCYAGTATCAATAGCACCATTCATGGTAACTGCATCTTTAACATCCTTATATACTCCTGGCAAGTCCTTTCCAGTTCTGCACCACTCAGGTATATCAACGCCATAAAGTTTTTTTACAGGATCTTCTGGCTCTCCTGGAAAACATAGAAGTGTTCAAACATATAATTGTTTCTTTATGTATCTTGTAATAATCTTTTCTTGTATTTATTATAAACCTACCATAAGCTTTGACTTTCACTGCACCAATGTAATCTTAACACTACTACAGTTATAACGTTTTTATCACTTGTATTTACAGTACCTTGACTGGCACCATCACCATCTGATCCTGGTACCATATGTCCAGGAACATCACCATGTTGCTCCATTTGTTTCATCTGCTCCTGACCAGGTATTCCTGGCATCGCAGTTGGTGCCAATCCTTGTGCCATGAAACTAGTACCTTGAATTCCAGGAAGGGAAGGCTGGTATTGAGATTGCCCAAAATGTCCTGGCTGGGATGACAAAAATCCTCCACTGGAACTTGATGACACACTTGATTGACTGTCAGTTCTTGCTCGTGGTCCTGTTATAGCCGAGGTTGCTTGAGCTATTGTTGTGACACTAGATACTGTGCTTGTACCAGGAACCATCTGGGTGGAGGTGAATCCTACATCCATTGTACTTGTTGGAACTGGTCTCATTTGCCAGGAAGGATTGTTTTGACTGTGGTTTGGCCAGGAAGGTCCACTTTGGCTTGAAACAACATTGGAAATATTTGAAGGAGCTAATGAACTACCACCTTGACCAAGAAATGTACTTTGTTGACCAGGAAATGCACTCCCTTGACCAGGAAGTGTCCCTTGTTTACTAGGAAAAGCACTCCCTTGATCAGGAAATGCTCCTTGTTGACTGGGAAATGCACTCCCTTGACCAGGAAGTGTCCCTTGTTTACTAGGAAAAGCACTCCCTTGATCAGGAAATACACCTTGTTGACTGGGAAATACACTCCCTTGAGTAGAAAATGATGGTGCTTCTAGGAAATCACTAAAGTCATCATCAGCACCAGTACCTGGGTTAGCACTCAGGTTGCCAAAGCCACTTTGTTGGGTTTGCATGCCAGAAGTATGTTGTGAATATGATTGTACAGGATGCTGTGAGAAACCTGATTGTCCAGGCTGTTGCTGCACATTTGATTGTCCAGGAATCTGCTGGAAATGTGGCTGTCCATGATGCTGTGGGAAACTAGGTTGTCCAGGTTGTGGTTGCGTGTGTGAATGTCCAGGAAAATGCTGCAAGTGTTGTTGCCCAGAAAACTGTTGTATACCCTCTGATTGTCCTGGGTGGTGTTGCATGTTAGGTTGTGGTTGTGAGTGCTGTGACTGCTGTTGATAATGCTGTTGTTGTTGATGATGTTGTTGTTGCTCATGACTATCTTGTTTTTGTGGTGCTTGATAGAAACCTCCAGGTCTTGAAACTAAAAAATAATATAACAAGGAAATTTTGAGCTGACAATATATATGTTTATATTGGTAGCTAACTTCCGATCTAATTTATAGGAGAATCGCGATACTCAGTTCAATTATTGATTCTTATCCAGTTGTAAGAAGAGTTAACTACTAAAAACTGGTGTGAGCTGTGTCGGTGTTTCTAATGAAACAGTAATGATAAAAAGGTAAATTATACATTGTGAAAAGATGAAAAAACTTACTGACGTTTCGGACGCTAGTCCTTCGACGGAGTAAAAAAGAAAGAGGTGGTAGAAAGGAGTGTTTATATGATAGAATAAGACAAAAGAAACCAATGAGAACAAGGTAGGCAAGGAAACCAAAACAAACAATCAAAAGATAAAAGAAAGGGTTAGTTGAAAGCAAAGCGTTCATTAATCCCGTTGGGACTAAGAGTGCCCAATAGGTGAATAAGCCGCATTTCTTTGGAAAAAACAGTTGTGTTTTTTAATATATRAAAGCATACTTACAGAGTGATTTTCCAGTTGAAGTAGCAAGGTGTTGTTTTGGAGCAGGTTTTGTTCCACCACCCTTTTCAGCTAATGTACCAATCAGATGAGACAAATCACCACCTCCCTTTTTTCCTCCTCCATGCCTCAACTCCTGTAAGCGCTTTTGTTGCATTTCAAAATCTCTCTTTTTTCTTGTCTCGTTGTTCAGCTTTTCATTTTCTTGAGCCATTCTTTGCTGCTGTTCCATCATTTTTTGATATTGTTGCTGATTGAAGGCTTGTTGTATCTGTGGATTTGGGTTCATGGGGAACTGTCCCTGGCCAAATCTTCCTGGGAAACCCTTTATTAACAATTAGATATGGATTAATAATATTCTCAAAAATATGAATGATTCTCTCATGGTGTGGAATTGATTTCTAAAAAGATCATGTTAGGGGATTTGAATTTGTAAGGAGTGGATGGGGTCTGTGGAAGGTATAATGTGTAGTTGCAGAAAATATCCATACCTCCCTAATGGAAGGGGATTGGAATGTTCAAGGGGTGAGGAAGTTCCGAGTAGTACAAGAAAATACTCATACCTCCCCGATGGAGGGGGATTGGAATTTCCAAGGGGTTGGGAGGGTCTGAGGAGGATATAGCTCTAACCATCATGGTAATTCCTAGCCGGTGTGGGCCAGAGCTTTTACACGTACTTGTGGCTGTTGTTGTGGAGCAAATCCAAACTGCATGTTTTGCTGCATAGGTAGTCTTTGATTAGGAAAGCCTTGTTGTGGATAATATGACATTCCACCTATATCAAATACAAATATTTATTTTTGTATATCATTAGTTTTACACAGTCAGTACATTATGGTCCCTGGGGGGGGGGGGTACTCCGCCAGAATTTGGGTAGGGGTGTTCCGCTGGGATTCTGACAGGGGTACCCTTTTTATGACAAAAAAAATCGTATTTGTAGACCCTGTTTATGACAAAAGATATAATTAATTGCACTGAGTTCCTGTTTCAATTATCATGTCATCTCACGTATCATTTTTTTACGACCATGGTAACCAGTTTCAGTCAATACGAAAGTAGAAATCCTTAATATGACAAGAAACTCAGGAAGAATTAGGACCTTGAGTGAAATTGCATACCCTGTTCATGACAAGAAGCTCGAAAAACCATACCCTGTTCAGCGGATCATCCCCGTATAGTTCATATATGGGAGTACTCCCCCCCCCGGGATTATGGTATATAATTTCATTGAACTTAAAGTACAAAAGTACAAACAATTTGTTGGTATTAAAAGTCTCGGCATTCATGAGTCTTCTCATGTGAAATAATAACTGGAATAGTTAAACATATGAATGAAAAAGTATCTAAATGCATTTATTGGGCCGGCATTTTGATTTGATAATCGAAAGCCATTCAAGCTTCAAGAGGCTCATGATCAAGAGTGGTTTCAAGATGTTTTCCAGATTTATTTGAAATCGTTCGAAACAATTTCGATAATAATGATAAAGAATTTATACAGATTCTTCGGGTTATATATTATGTTACAGATATCATTACCTGGGTAAGGTTGATTTTGTGGTTGACCAGCAAATCTAGGATTATTTCCGCTGTAGTTGTTGAAATCCATCCCCTATGTTGATTGATCGATCTTGGATATTATTGAAATCAATTCAAAAAATCCCAAATTTTTCGAAGCCTCCAGAAAAAATCACATCAACACTGGAACATCCATTTGTTCAAAATAATCTTATTGTAAGAGAATTTCAATGAAACTCGTAGTATTTTTTGAGATTTTTGAGATCGTCAATGCATTACGGCGGCCATTTTATGTTTATGTTTTGCAGTGCATGCTGGTATTGGTAGACCAGCTGTTTTGGGTTCCCTGTGGATAATAGAAGGCGCTTTACTCCGCGGGGAATTTAAAAGAGCGCGAAAAACAACGAGGAATTTTGGTTCTACTTTGATAACAACGACAAAAATCATTATAGAAGTAAATGAATGTGGTTTTTGAGTACGTTTTCACGTGAGAAAGCTGAACAGCATGGGCATTAAGTTATGCTAGAGCAAAGAAATCACTCAAAAGATGAATAACGAGGAAGAAAGTTGACTGAATTACATATGTTGCCCAAAGAAAGTAAAGAGGAAGGTGAAATCATACGAAAAGTAAGTAAAATATCAAGAAGCAGGTAAATATCGTAGGGGTTGATAACATTTTAAGGAGAAGTAAGAAGATCTAATGAGTAGTGGTTTTGAAGTATTAAGAAGTTTAAGCAATTATAAACTTTACAAACATGGCGCCCTGAGTCAGCTGTGAATTGAAGGTGTTCATGCAGTATCACGTACGATATCTTTTTCAATATAACAAATGAAATGGTATATGATATTTTAACCCCAATTCATCATATCAAAAGGATAAAGTGAACTGATTACAATAATATTCCGAGGGAAGTCAAACAAACCATGTTGAGATGTTTGCAAGGTATTGTGGATAATATTGAAGTCTTATCCTTTACATCAACTCAAGCTAGAAAATGACCTAGCTACCTCTATCAATGTTTATCGATCCACAAGTAACATTGATAAACCAATCCTCTCTCGACAATATCTCCTTCGATTTACCGTTCCGACATTGGTACAAAAGTACTCATGCGCATGCGCAGAACGGCTATGAATTGTATTGCCCGAATTACACTTAGATTGTGTGGCGCGCTTTTCTTCGTTATTGCTTTACCTCGTTGTGGAAGCCCTTGTACAATCACGATACTCGTAGAAATCCCACCCACTAAATGGCTTCTCTAATCAAGCTGTAGTGTGATTGGATAGCCGCGCTTTTATTCGCTTTTTCATTGGCTACGTGTGGAACTCTTTCAAGGGTCACTCTGTGTGCACTTCCCATCCGCAAGATACTGATTCACTCATACTAAGTAAGGCACGTGCTGCTTGACATGCGATAAACTGGACAGTGAGACGCTCGCACAGTTTGTTATTGCTCCTTCGTTAGACGTGTTGTACTGTAACCGAAAACAAGAGACTACGTGCTCTACTCTTTGATCTTTTAATTAGAAATGATAGTTGAGTAAATAAACTTGACACTGAGTAACTAGATATATTTCATTTGTGCTATTAGTTCTGTGATTGATCCAACATTTTGAGTATGTAGGAAAATTCTAGCTATTTTGGGTCTTGAGAGAGGGGATGTGCGTGGAGTTACTTGATAAATGCTAGGCTTTTATTTTGCATCTTTGAGTTCCGCATTCTATTTTACTCGATGTGATCAGTGATGTATACTAATCGTGCAGTTGAGGGCGTCTTCGTTATATATTCATTTCATTGTTTCGTGGACCTATTTTTCTTCTTCTTAGTCTTCTTTCTTGGTTTCCTTCCTTCCTTCCCTCCTTCCTTTCTCTCCTCCTTTTTTGTATTTTCTTTCTTTGTTTTTTCCTTCCTTCCTTTCTTTCCTTCTTTTGATTTTATCTTTCTCGGAAAGACAAGCTGCTTCTTTCTTTCGTTTCTTCCTTTTATTTCTCTTTCTCTGCTTCTTTCTTTCCTTCCTTTTGTCTTTCTCTTTCACTGCTTCTTTCTGTCCTTTTCTCCCTCCTCTCCTCCCTCCCCTTTTCTTTTCTTCTCTCGAAGTCGCGCTTTTTCATTAGATACCTTTTCCTAACAAGAATCGATAATCAAACTATAAAATATATTATGTACACAACTAATTTCTCAACATCTTTTTTGTTTTTATCTTTTATTTGACTTGTAGATACATTAGTTGCAGTACCCTAACTATATACTTTTCCATTTGCCCCAATCTATTTATATTTAGGCTGTAATATCCGTAAAGGTATATTATACTATTATATACAAACTGACTAGAATACTGACTTTGACTGACAACCATGATGCATAACAGGAAGGCAAAAATTTGGCCAACCTATCACATTGCACCGATAATTTTTCGTCCAATCAGTAGACGGCAAAGTCATGTGACTGGTCGATGTCAACTTTTTCTCTGCAATTTGGAATCCTTATCTTCAATCATGAGATAAGATTTTTAGCAATAAATTATTTTATTTTATTTTACTTTAGATACACATAGACCCCTTGCATTTAAGCTCATTGATTTCCAAGAGAAATCGTCCTGGGGGGGGGGGGGGGGGGGGGGGGGGGGGGGGACAAAACAATAGGCCGTCTTTCCTTATGCATGTATGTCCCCCAAAACAATTCCTCTTGGGACTTATTCCAAGGGGTCTGTATAAGCTTATTATGTTACTGCAAGAAAGTTGACTAAAGACCTAGATATACTGACTCCAATGTATTATCTGTATATCTTTATGACTAGACATACTTCAGCCTTATCGTGCTTATATAGTAAAACGTTTAACCCTTACAGCTGTACTTTACCCCAATCTCATGATATACTACCTCCGCTATCTCTAGTGTCTAATTTACTATTGATATTGACTATATCGAAATTATTATACACCGCTAAACCTTATTATAATTTATTTTCTTATTCATATATTTACAGCTATATTAATTCATTACAATCAAATATTTGGACTTTAAAATCATAAAGCAATATTTATATATTTGATGTGGGGTTAGAAAGGGGGGGAGGGTGACTCGTTACTGGGAAGGAGTTTTTATCAACCTACGTTGCAAAATACTTATCGATACTAAAGAAAGTTGAAGTAGTTTTAGTGGATTATTTATGAACAGTTAAATCTGTGGTATATCAATTAAGATTTGATCAAATGTTACGTGTAATCTAATCAGCAGGGCAAGGAATTATTCAAGATTCATCACCGCCGCGTGCATAATATCTTTTCTTGATAATACAGATTAGGAGTAGAAATAGTGTTCTTATGAGACTGTTGGTATAGTATTTCTTATGAAGCTGAGCACCTGTTTTTGAAGTACCTGCCTTGTTGTTTTCAAGGTTGCGCAATCCGATCCAAACTACAGACACTGAAGCAAAAAATATCATAATTTAATAGGATGGGCCTTACTCACGCAGAAGCCATGTTTTTTCTCATGAGAATAAAAACCATTGTTTAACCCACATAAATTTATATATTCTCAAGCACTTGAATTCTATTGTTCCAGTCAATCAATATGGCAGCCGCGTGAGTAAAGACCATAATGATCATTTTCGTATTATTTTTGTTTCGAAAAACTTTAAATTCTTTGTTATGTCTCAACCAGCGCCTCAAGCGTCTTATTTCATCTCCGTAAATGGCTTGCATGAGTGCGCAACCAAAAATAGGACTAAGCTTGACTACTAAGCCAAGTAGCCCTAAGTGGGTTAAGTGAAGTAAGTACATCAGTCCTTCAAATGTACAGGAAAGCGGATAAATTTTTAGAACCTACTATAGAACCTTTAAACTTGGACGAAAGGTGCCATTCTGTCGAGAATAAGATTGTTTGAATTTCATCTATGTTATAATGATCTCCCGAGGGATAAAGAAAGAAATAGAGCCAATGTTCTCGTCAGTGCTATTTTGGTCTTATCGATAGTTGCCAAGTTATTTTGGCTGGTGTTTTTCTCGTTGGGTTATCTTATATAGCTTGTTTTAGAGAAAGTTTTATCAAACAAAAAAAAAAAAAAAAACAAAAAAAAAAAAACGCTTATCCGCAGTACAGCATTACAGTAACTAATAACATAACTTCAAGTTAACACTATTTATCAATGTGGTTTTTGAACCCTTTTCCACCGGATTGAAATCCCATGATACATTGCGCCAATGATTCCGGTAAGGAAAAGGCTTTATTCCCTTTTTTTTTTTGTGGCGCGACGTAAAAACGTTTTGAAAATGAAACCTAACTGAGTTATGTTTAACACCCACAGTAATGTATAAGCTTTCTTCTTAAGAGAGCTTTCAACTACTTGATTTGCATAAAGTACTTAGCTTATCTGATGTATAATCTTAGTGACTTTGCCCTTTTTTCACTCAAAACGCGGCAATTAATTTTTTTCTTTTTTGTTGATTTTTTTAACAGACGACGCTCCGTACTCTTTGACATAAGCTTTTAATACACCTCACTTCATCATGAAAAGATCGACTACTTTGATGGGTGAGTCATATATATCATTTTTTGTTTGTGAACCTCGCACGTACGCTCGTGATCAAAACTGGCGCCATTCACCAGGTCAGTCCATTATTACACTAGTACCTTCAGCACCTGGACCTTCCCGCTCATAGACTATACACATTATTTTAGAATCGGTGTCGTACCCAGCTGATATGAAATGGTGATGTAGAAATCATGCAGTCACTACGAAACTGATATGAGGGGTCATGAAGCCTGCGAAAACTGTTGACCGGCGAAAAAATCAAAACATGCCCGTCATTGCTATAAAAATATATAACTCATTAATAAACGAGAAGGTTACACGTGATAAACCTGTGGCCCTATATGTTTAATGTCTCTAAATAATACCATTTTACGCGATCATTAGAGCCACGGCGAAGGTCTGAACTATTTGCAGGTGTCTTAGAGAAACCATAATTTCAAGGGAAAAGAAAATCAACACCTTAGTTTTGCAAATTTTCTCGAATGTGATTGGTTAACACTTTTTATCAGATCAGCTAGAAGTATGATACGATATTGTGCATTAGCAAGAACTGGTATTTTTGATCTTATCCCACTGGCTATAAGTGGATTTGCCATTAAGGATGGACCTACTTATCAAAAACATTAGTCTTTCTGGTGGGATGTGAACATTGTAACGGTAATCCTATTGTTGCTCACTAAAAAGGCCTTACCTTTTCCAAGCCTTAAGCCTTTAATTCCTCACATGCGCAATCAAAGATTAATTGGTTTTTATCTTATTTTTCTATCGCCTCTGTTCTTTGAGTACAAAGTTTAACCAAGCCAATGTGAATATGCGCGACATGCTGGATAATGTTTGAGGGTTTATCGGTAAATGTCCTTGCACTATCTCTGAACAAGTCTGGCCCCTCTTCTTAGATATCCTGTAGCGTAACAAATCCATGCCACGCACATTTAGATTAAGCTTCATCATTTCATCAATAATTATTCGCTATCTTTTTTTTTTTTTGCTTTCTGGCCATCCTGACCGCCTTTTTTCCGCAGTTTTTCATTTCCTTGGTCTTTTCCTTTGTTAAATATTTATTTTATTCAAGAYGTTTTTCTATTTCCTGTAGATCATATTTGTTTTAGTTTTCTTTTCCTCTCCACCAGCCCGATTAGTCCTCGGAGATCTCTTTAATCAAGTCATGTTTTAGTGTCCTTGTATTTTGAATGGTCGGTATTCCATCAATAATAGGTGTCATTCCGCAATGTGCACTTGAAGATGTTTCCCTGTTCAAATCTACCATCTATTATTAGCATACAACAACTTATTCAGTTCACTCAGTATTTCATAGATGAGTATTATATTCACCGTAACTCTGTTTCTCTCTTCCCTGTGGACACGAGGATTCTAGCAGCTCTACCTGTAACTGTAGTTTATCATTGCAACTCAAAGGTTCTCTAGATCTGCTCGTTGATGCAATGCTGTCAGTTTTTTGTAAATCTTTAGGGTATGTTTCGTTTTGGTTGGGCTCGGGTGAGGTCTCGCTACGACTTCCACTGAAGCTCCTCATGGAGAACATTCGCACCACCGTGCTGCTCTCATTATCAGGTAGTTCACTTCGCTTTGCAATAGAATTGAGGCTTCGTGAGATAGCACTGACTGACTTTCTTATCCTCAAGCAGTCGTAGATCCCACATAAAGTGTTCTTGACTGCTCGATTACGGAAAGAAAAAAGAAAAGGATTAAGTGCTGAGTTTAGATAGCCAAGCAATAGAAGTGGTGGATATACGTGAGGAGGTATACTGAAGAAACATGACTCGCATAAGTTACCGATGATTGAGACAGTACTATATGGAACCCAACAGAAAACAAACACGAACACGAACAAGGAAATTGTTTTGGCAGCCCTTATGTTATGCATGTATTCCTTGTGGATTTTGGGTCGTCCAAAAGTGCTGGAACAGATTCTCTGTTGCTGTAATGGGTGAAGCCGTGCGATCTGGTAGATCTTGATATAAATGGCACAAGTTAGCAACAGAGGTATCACAAAGTTCGTGAATGAAGTGATGGCACTGAAGAGAATTGGCAATGGAAACAAGCAGCTTTCCTCGTAGATGAACGGTAAAGTAGAGAAAACATCTGCTACGGGTAAAATGGCTACGATGAAGCAATATGCCCACAGGAAAATTATGATGATTATAGCTCTCTTGCGGGTCATGAAGCGAGATCTCCGAAAGCGATTCAAAGGATCGCTCAGTGTTTTGTACCTATCGACACTCAGAGCAAGAAGAGTATTGATGGAAGTAGGGACTGTAAGAAGATAAGCAACTATCCAAGCTTTGCATAGAGCTTCATCATGGTGCCATTTTCCGGCTGTGATGAGAATTTCTGCATCAAATGGCATGGCAAAAACTGCAGTTACCAAGTCGGAGAAAGCCAGTGAGAGTATAAACAGATAAGTAGGATTCCTGCGGAGTTTTCTGTTGAAGCCAATTGCACAGCAAACAATAATATTTGCGAGCGTTGCAACTATGATGATGATACAGTACAAGCCCGCAAACATGTATCCGTACCATTTCTCGAAATTCAGGATATGTGTACCAGTTCCATTCGTTGCATTAGCCATCATTTTTTGAGTAAAATACACCGAAGTCTGAAAATATTGCTCAAAGTTCCTCGGGATTGTTGAAATGGTGATCCAGATTTTCAGCCCTGGTTTTTAACCGCTCACTAACACTCCTCCTATTTCGAATCTCTTCTTTGCGTTCACTAGAGGATACTCAAGTTTTGCCCGATTACTGCTGATTAATGCAACACCTGCTACAATTAACTCAAGCACCTTGAAACAACCTTAGGAGAAAAAGTTTCATGACGTCACTGACCTCATTAATAATCATATAAGACGATCCTCTAAGTTACAGCAAGACTTGGTGAAGAATATTCTAGAGTTTATTTGGAAAGACAAAAAAATTCCAGTGGTTAGAGTAGTTACTGGGTTGAACGGGAAATCGGTTGAGCAACCCTGATCTGTTGTTGTTGTTGGGTTTYGAAGTCCTTCAGGAAGCAAGCAATTGTAGATATTTAATGATGATGGAGCACGAAGTCTTGTTCGCAGCCAATGCGATGGTACTTGTTACTGAGGAGACTTTAGTAGCAAGGGTATTGCCAACGTCATAAGATCTCTGTAAACGGAAGAAAAAGACGTGAGATGAAATTACAAAACAGACAGATCTAATGGATTCGTGTTTGTCATTTCTCTTAATAGTTCAGTCGTTGTCTGCTTTACGTGTGATTTGTGCAAATCCTTAATCCACTTACTGCTAAGTGATCATCGAATTCTAGTTATAGAAAAATTCATTAATAATCAAATCTAATCTAGAGTTTTTAATTGATGATGACTGGACCAAACAATTAATGAGGATTCTTTTGCGATCACAATAATCATTCATGAAGCGCCACTTGGTCAAGAACCACAGCCACCTTAAAAATGTACTTGAAAAATATGGCCCGCCTCTTACTCTAGCTGAGCTACGATTCGTGGCCGACTCAATTAAAAGCGACCTATTATAAACAATGTTCAATTAAAGCTTAAAGACTGTTAATTTGTTTTGCAAGCCTACTTAAATCAAATCTTTTTTTCCGTTCCGTAAGAACCGGATGAATACGTGTACAATAAACATCATGGATTCTCGCGGCGAGCAAGTTCATCAATGGCCATAAAATTTATTTTATTGCTTGTGCAGTCGGCGCCAAGGGTTATTTTTAATACTTCTTACGAATACAAGTTCCTTATAATATAATAAAAGTACAATCATGTAGGGCTTTTAAAAGGTGGAAATATTAAAGCAAACAAGTTCATCGGAAAGGTGACCTTAGAAAGACAATGTAATATGAAACATTTATACTCAAGAACTGACCTGATGATGTTGTCGAGATGACAACAAAACGTCGTCTTGTTTAATTTTCATATAAAATTGGAAAGAGCGGGAAAATAAATAGAGAATGAGTGAATTTGAAAATACGATTACAATAACTTGAAAACGTTCTTCCTTCGCTATTTATTGAAGCATTTTTCAAATGGTTAATGGTAGCAACACGCTAAGGATATTTCATGATAAACAAAACACCGGTGTGGTGTACGACTTTTCATCCAGAACTTTCCCTTAAGCCAACATACTAACTGCGTAACAACGAAAAAAACAAGAAAAGTGCACTGTTACGCACGAGTTGCAAGGAAACACGTAAGATCCAGTGAATTGTTGTCAAATGTGTTCCAAATTAATAACACCAAAACTAAGGTTAGATACAAATATACGATTAAACTAGACAAAACTTAACGTAGTCTAAACTAACTTGACCTAATCATTACAAACAGTTCGATAGCTTGCCTCCAGAGCTTTTATAGTTCTTGTTCTTTGTTCTTCTTCTTCTTCTTCTTCTTCTTCTTCTTTTTCTTCCTCTTCTTCTTCTGTGCAGTACTCTGTTGACCAGCTATTGGAACGGTAGACAACTTGATGACTTATACTAAATGAAGGCTTGTACTTTACAAAGGCTAAACTCACTACAGCTCTGGCTGTTCTCATATACCTAACTTATTTCTAAATATAATCATTACATCATTCCAGAATGCTCTTTGTAAAGAAGCTTCTACAGGGTTCTAGACGGTTACAGAATGTTCTCGAATGTTCTACTTGGTTGAATTAACAACTAAACAACTAATGATGGTAATCGAACTGAGTGGAGTGCAACTTGGACCATAATCATACAAGTGATTACAAAATTGCACATCACAAGCATGGTTTTTGTCCAAAATTTACCATTTCGGCGCTAGCCGTCACGGGGTATAAATTGTTTTAGATTGTGTTACGGTCACCAAAAAGTTCGGACATTGTTCTAGAATTTCCGTACAAATGTACTGACGTTCTCTAAATACAAGTGAATGATCATTTTTCTAGCTTGATTGAAGCTTTTCTTACTGCTGTTAAGATAGCTAACTAAAGGAATCTATCTAAATTTTCTCTTTAAAGTCAGTGAATTTGTATGGAAATCCGAGAACGATGTCCGAACTTTTTGGTGACCGTAACGCAATCTAAGCTAGCGCCGAAATGGTGAATTGCACGACACGAAGTTCAATTACCACTTAATCATATCCTTTTTGTAATCATACACAAGACTACATGACTACATGAAAAATACAATACAATTTACTTTTTTGTTATAAAATCTATCAAAAAGTGTGAAAATGTCCCAATTTACCGAGAAAAACACTTTGCAAACGCGTTGAAAAGGCTTGTTTCATTCTATTCTCTGATTGGCCGAATAGAAGAATTCTGTTCTGTGATTGGCTCTTTCAAAAAGATGCGATTAAGGGCTCAAAAGAATGCAATTAAGAGCTCCTAAGAATGCGATTGGGGAATAAATCGCACTCCTTTGAACCAATCAGATTGCAGGATTTGGTAGTGATAACAAAAAGGATATGATAAAAACAATAATAATATGGGCTGATTGGCCCTCATAACAGCACGCTTTGATCTAGATAACTTAGGGAAATCAAATCCCCCTCCTCCTACACCCAATCACAGACAGACATGCGCGGGCATGGAGGCTCGATTAGTAAGCAGCTTTACTAACCATTTAGCCATTTAGTTGATGATCCTTGAGGTATAATGTTGGTTTTTCACGAAAATCACTACCTCCGCGGACGAACAAGTACTTAGTGCGTATTATTATCTCGTTTAGGCTTTCCGTGACAAACAACCGTGAACGAGCGCTCGTTAAAACCCAGCAGAGATTACCGGTATTCTCTTCCGCGACCGAATAGAGACCGTCTGCGGAAACAAACTGTATACAGTAAACAAGATATGTTTTTGTAGGTCGTTCAGGAGGTGGTTCCTGTATTTTCTAGCTGTTCGAGCTGTTGGATACCAGACCTTGGCTGCATCAGCTACGCTAACCTTATAACCACTGTAAAGACGACTGAAACTAGTCTGGTGTTAGCGAACAATTTTGAAACTATAAGAAAAGTAAACCAATTACACTTATTTACTAACAAATATTGAACCCTAGATTACTGAAATTATTTGTGTATCCTAAGCTATTTTGTAGTCGAACATACACGATCAAACTGTCAGTTTTGAGCAAAGCCTATACACTTCACCATGAGACAATATTTGTATGATTTTGAACTGATATTTTCATTACACGTTCCCGTCAACTACCAATGCCACAAGGCGGCTATTTCTAAAATAATCAACCTTACTACTGACCACCACTTGCTATGTTTTTTTATTGCATTATTGGTTTTTACTCTCGAGGCTCTAATGGCAAACAACATAAGTCTGTATTGAGGCAGAGATAACCTGAACTACAAGCTCTTAGCGGAAGAACTACGATGAAAAAAGCGATAAACCAGTGTTTATTAGATTTCTCGTCATTAATGTAGATATTTGAATGGAGATTGAAATCAAGGAAGCACTTCACTGCTTTATTTGTGTTCCATCACTAAGGGTCTCAGTTCTTGCATCCTATATCATCCATTATCTATATTTGAGGTGGTCACCTTTATCTCCGGGAATCTCCGACTTTTAAAGTTTGTTCTATGGCTTTACATATGTATTACTGAAGTACTTTTATGAGTCTAGCTGCTTATGAATTTCTTAGTTGATCTCCTTCCATACAGCTGTTGTCTTGGCAAGAACTAAACTAACAGTCAACTGGCATTCTTGTATAACAATACGGATTTCTTATCGTCTTGTTTTTACGTGCCCATAACTCTTTGCGTACCCATAACTCACAAAATCAGCTAACCAATCAGCTCTTAAGGAGTCAGGCGAGCTCGCGTTTATACACGAAAGTTCCCGCCAAAATCACAGAAACCCCAATAAGCGACAGGGTAGAAAAACGGTGAGCCCGCTTCTTTCACGATTTTTTTATTTAACTGAGTTTAATACTCCAAATTTTTAAGCGTTTCATTTGTGTCACTGCTGCTCGAAACTTGTGACGAAATTTTGTCGAATTAGAGTCAAGGTTACTTATTAGTATTCACGAAAATGTCAGTTTTTCTGCTGATCAAAATATAACCTCTCCCAAAGTACACGGCTTTATATCTCAAATACGCATTCAATAAATTTTGGTCGCATTTAATATTTTGATATTTGGCTCCAAAAAGACGTGTTTACAAAATATCGAGCTTAAATACGTAAAGCTGTCCTTATGGCGAAAGGCCAAAAACCGTTTTTCTGCCCTGTCCCAATAAGCATAAATCTCGTCAGGCCCAAGAACGTGTTTGTTTGTATGCGATTCTAGTTCGATATTACAAAGCTTGAAAAAGATTGGTTAAACGATTTACCAATGTACATGTATAGCAGCAGTGAGTATGTGAAGTCACTTAAACCTTACGGAATACTTAAGATAATGATGGATCATAAAGAACCTTCTTTTCCAACCTGACATATTATSCAGGTTTTTGAACTGATTTTTGATATTGAAGATTTTTTGAATCAATATTATTAATTCCCGTGAAAACCAATACATAAACCAATCACTTTGACAGTAAATAATGACTAAAGCTAATTAAACAGAACAACAAGGTGATAACATCAAATCGTCTACGGCGTAGCCTTGATAAATAGGTTTTTTGACTAATACTGATCACTATTATTTTGATGTGTCCATAAATATTACCTTCGAGTCAGTAAGCCAAGTGATGTCGCTATTCCAACATGGCCAACAAAAAACAGAGCAATTATATCCAATTAAAAATATCCGCAACTCAGTCAGCTGTCAAAAAAAGCTACAAATTTCTGAAAGAATTGTTTTTTCCGATGCCCCCTTGAACGGAACCTTACTATACTGAATCCTGACAGTTAGACATGGAAATTGAAAGTAGCCGATTATCATTATGTAAGTTTTTCTAGCAATTAGACATTTCAAAAACACCGCCGACAGAATTGAAAAAAAGTTTTGTGTAGTTATATTGATTCCTTGTTTGATAGGCAATAGTCGTCTTGATCAGTTTTCGCAACACACATTAAATAGTTATTGAGCGAATCTTTTAAAATATTGTGGATTTTTATACCCTGCGAGCAGATATTTTTTTTCTGACCCTCCGTTGGGCTGGCTGGCTGGCTACCTTTTTTCTCCCCGACCAGCCAGCCCAACGGAGAGTCAGAAAAAAAGCTCA